AATAAGAAAAATAAGAACTAAGAAGAGAAAAAAAAAGAAAAAGAAAATGAGTGAATGACAAAAAAAATCACTTTCCTTCAGAAAGAGCGATAAACCCTTTCTTAAACTTTCTTCCTCGCTCTTTTTCCCCTCCCCAGTATTTAATCTCACTGGCGACATGTTAAGATTTAGATAGAGCAGGCCCACCCCTTTTTCTACCCTTTCTCCTGAATATCGTCCCTCTAAAAACGTTCCATGCTGAGGGCTGTTCCGAACCGCCGAGGGATTAAAAAATAATACATAAAAATATTCCTATAACTATATATATATATATATATATATATATATATATATCGTTTGAACCAGAGAATAGGAGGGGAAGTGAAGTGAGGGGTGTGCGAGTTTTTATATTCGATAGCAAAAGGTGGATAGGAGAGTATAAAAAAAAAAAGATACAGACGGGTTTACCTGCGAGTCTGTGAAGTATGTGTGTATTCGTCGGCTCGAAATAATATCTTTCACCCGAGGCTAAAAGTTCGAATCGTTTGACATTTTAGAACTTGAGCTCTGAATAAAAATTGTTTCGTTCCTCACAGCAATCGGTCTCCCCTACCCTTCATTTTGTAATGTTTTCAGTGTAGATGAAGATTATTCAGGATATTAATTTTTATATTTTTGAGATGTTGTTTATTGATTTTGTAATATATACGTTGCTCCAGTTATTGTGTGCTGGAGAGTTCAGAGCTTACAAACATATCAGAAAGATTGTGCTCGTTAAAGAAAAATTGTAATGGAGTAAAATTTAATTCATTTGCTCCATAAATGCGAAAGACAAATCTGAGATTTGCTGGTGAAACAGCATCAAACATCTACTATTGTCCATTGATTCATTTTGATTTTTTGATTAGTGTCACATTTTGAAGCAATACAAACGAAAACCATTTTGGTGCCCGGACGTCTTAAGGCAGGAGATGCCAAACCGTGGCACACGCGTGCCATAGTGTGTCACGATGGAATTATAGCAGTGGCACGCGGAAACTTTCAGAAAAATTAAAGAAATTTTGAAAAGATAATAAATAACCATTTCTTACAATTTTATTGAAGTGGGGTTGTCTCAAACAAAAACACCTGAAAATTTGGATCAAAATATTTTTGTGTGAATAAATGTTTTCGGCTATGAACATACTAAAATAAGTATCACTCAAAACTAGCTAATGTGAACATATAATAATCTAATTTTATTAGCATCTGTAAGAGCTAATATTAATATAAATCACTTGGTAAAAAATAAAAAGGTATTAATTCAAAAGCCCCATTAAGTAGGTACTAAGCGTTTATTAATTATTTTGAATTAAAAAATTTCATGTTACTCATTTTTATTTTATACCTAACCTAATTGATTGAACTTGTAAAAAGTTAATTAACAATAAAACTTAATTTTGTACTTTGTATTATTCATTATATTATTTTTATATTTCTACCTGCATTAAGATATGTGCTATTTGTGTAAAAAAAAAATCTCATAATAATCTTACAAATAACATTTTTTCATTTTTCTATATTTGTAGGAAAAGTTGAAAGAGGAACACATAATTATTTTTTATCAAACAGTTTCACTCTTTCCAAACAGGTTGACCACCCTCGAGCCTCGTCTCGTTCTCTTCCTTCTCTCGTCTTAATAAGATCATGATTCGAATAGTTTTAATGGTCAAATATTGTTTCCAGTTGTATTCTCTGAAAAACTGGGAATTTTGGACTCAATGTCAACTGGCTACACGTGATGACAGTCGTCAATGAATATAAGCCACCTATCACCATACACTATTATTATTCATTCAGTCAATAGGTGGCAGTCTGTCCAACCGATATGTGCGATTGTAAGTTATGCACATTTGATTGTTTCGTGTTATTGTTTGTACGAGTATTTGAAAAAGTATGCTATGCATTGTATACTTTTCAGGGTAATAGGTGGGGCCTACATTTTTGTAAGGGCCCAGGGTTTCAAGAAGTCTTAAGACCAGGGGTGTAGCTACCGCCGTATCAATGATACCATGCCCCCAAGCTACAGGGGCCCTACATGTGTTACTAAAGTCTTACTATCAGGGTTCTCCTATCTAAAAAAAGAGCCTCGAAGGAATTTCGATGCAGGGCCCTCTCGGAGCTAGCTACGCCAGTGCTTAGGACGTCCCTGGGGAAGGGGTTACATTCTAAAAATACGGAGACGAAAGCGAGCCGAGGGGTATTCTCTACGGTAAAACTTAAAAATTTGTTGGTTTGTGGGGGGTTGAAACCTCCCTTGTGTATGCTACCTTATACTATCGTGGTCGAAATGTTGAAGTTTTTTTTTTATTTATTTAGAAAAAAATTGTTTTCTTAAATGTTCTTTCCAATATATCAATACTCCATCGTCAATTCTACAAAATTTCTCTCTAATCTTCCAATCAACTTCTTACCTACGCATTCCAACCCTATACAAACTGAAAAATCTCCTTCCTTATTTGAATTGGAAAGATTTTTTATTTTTTTTTTTTAAATTTGTAGACGATGCATGTCGGTGCCGAACCCATTTATCAAGCTGGCATGCAGCGGCGAGATACCCTGTCAAGAAACACAGGAAAAAACACGTTAGAAACTGCTTCACCCACTCCTCAGGGTGTGGTTTCACTTTACGGGATAAGGAGGGGTGTAGCCCCACATGGGAGTGTCCCACCTGCCCAATCAACGTCGTCCCGCGGTCATCTTAATGAAGACCTCTGTCATAGAACACCGCGATTACACCGGACAGCCTCCGCGAGTTTATTGATTCACTTCATTTTAATTCGGTGGTCATTTTATTATTTAGTTCCCCTTTTTTCATTTTCTTTTTCTTCTCGGGAAGAAAACTACGGGGATTAATGCGTGGGTGGGTGACTGGTTTCACCTGTCAAACGGGCGATGAGGATCGCCTTTGAGGTTCATTTTTTTTACAGTATTTATGATTTTTTTTGGAAGAGAAAGTCAAGGTTGAGGCTTCGTATTCAATTTGGTAGCAGTTTTCTTGACATAAAGTTGGTAAAAATCTTGACTTTCTCTTTAATACGATGGCTATGAAGTTAAAATATTAGTATAAAAGTTTCCTTTAAAATAAATTAAAGATATACTAATGAAGTACTATATTCTAATGCGCTATTTGAAAATTATGTTTATTTTGTGGAGACCCCCTGGGTCTCACCCTGGACACCAAGATTAATTTGAGGCAATGAATCACCACACACACACAAGAGCCATTTTGTATAATAATAATAATTTATTATTTCAAGTCTAAAAAAACTCTAATAACATATAATATTTCTATGTTACGTCAAATAAAAGATTTACCTTTTATATTAAATTAAATTACGAATTATGCAATTAATTAATAATTATGCTCAAGATCAAGTAAGGTCTACCGAAATAGGAGGTCCGAGAAATACACGTACACGAATTATTAACTTCCATGAACTTTAACTAGTATCTTAACATCCTGGAAACCTCTAAATTTGAGGTTACTGCTGCTGGCTCAATAGTCTTCCTCATCATGCCTTCTAGCTTACAATGCTCGACTTCAATATCTTATCTACTTTGCATATCCCGTTCATCTTTTTGGAGTTGATTGGAAATATACGTGAATTTATAATCCCCAAAAAGACGCCTAAGAAGATTAGTGGAAAGGTTCCGTACAGATTCGTCACAATTTGATTTCTTACAAATATTAGAATGGAAAAAATGCTCGAATTTTGGAGTACAAAATTCAAATCAGTGATCTGAATGAGCATTTATTAACGTCGTTCTATTAAGCAATATGGGCGCGGTAGTCCAGTGGTCAAGGTATCGGATCGTGGCTGGCGGTAATGAGTTCGAGCCCTGTAGCCACTAAAGACACGCCATGTAGGGGAGCGAAGCGCGTTAAATCTGTCAAAAACTCAAACGTCCTCCCATTGGTGTGGTAGTTAGGAGAGGGGGTGCGTCAACTCAGGCGTCGTCTTTGTTATGTGACATTGACTCAAAATTTGGAGGTTTTCACCAAAAGCCCTTTTGTTGCTATGTAGTGCGACGTTAATTTACATTCACTGAACCACAATGGCGTGGTGTGGAAGTTAGGAGACAGTGGGGTGTATGTCCAGGTGTCATTCTCGGCACTTGATCGGGTTCAAAATTACGAATAGCTATTAGACCTTGGGGTGCCTTACTCAGAGAGTGAGAGGAAAATTTACGTCGCACTATATAGCTGCATGATGGCTATTATAGAGACAGAGCATGCAATTTTGAACTTTAGTCGAGTGACGAGGCACTTGAGCTGTGGTTCTCCCTCCCTTCTAACTTCCACATCACACCAACAGGAAGACGTTTCAGCCTCGACAACGAGCATCGGCTTCCTCCACTCGGCGGGTCTTCAACAGCACTAGGCTCGAATTCATGACACGTCAGCCACTAGTCCGTTACCATGACAACTAGGCTAACGCAGCCACTCGCAGTGCCTTAGAGTGAGACGTTAAAAAAACATTCAACTTCATACTGTCACTCTAAGAAAGAAAACAGTTTAATTAAATAAGAACTGTATTTATTAATGAAAAATATTACTTTTATATATATATATATATATAGGTAGAAAATAATGCAAAGAAATATTAATATTACCTTTAACAAGTAGTATAAAAATTTTTAAGTCAATTCCTACTTAGGTCAAAACAGAAAAATTTTATTTTAGTTACTTTTTATTAACTAGTTAAAACAATTTTTATATATATATATATTTATTAACTATTATATATATATATATATATATATATATATATATATATATATATATATATATATACATATGACAGAATCATAATAATAATTGACAAAATGGAAAACGATTTTCTTTGCAATTTTCCATTTCCTTTCTATGTATGGCATTGGACTATTTTTGTTTGTTTGTTACTATGTATTCATTAATTAAATTTAATTATTCCAATAAAATTGTATAGTAAAAAAAATCACATTCACAGAAATTAGGCCATCCCAGGTGGGATTCGAACCCACGACCTTTGAATTAGAAGTCTAATTCGCTATGCATTGCGCGACAGGGATACAACGGGTGATTTTCCTTTTTATATATGGTGTTGTACTATTATTATTGTTTGTTACTATTTATTCATTAATTAATTAAATGAAATTAATGAATCAATATTTGAAAAAACTGTATTAACATTAAGTGTCTTCCACAACAATTTAAAAAAAAATGTATGTGAACTTGAATGGATGAATAAAAAGTATTTTATTAACGATTAAAATTTTGTGAACAATATATATATATATAGAGAGAGAGAGAGAGAGACATATATATATATAGAGAGAGAGACATATATATATAGACATATATATATATATATATATATATATATATATATATATATATATATATATATATATATATATATATATATCTTAATGATTCGAATATAAATTTTAAGACCAAAAATATATAGTTGATTTTGATTTCTTAATAGAATCAGAATTTTGGCTATTGATAATATATTTTGTTTACATTTGATTACTTTTTAACTATTGTGTTTTTTGAATTTTTTATTATGTTGTTGGGTTTTTCAATGTTCATTTTTAAAATACATTTTAATGGTATTTCAATGCTTATTTTCTTATATACATATATATATAAATATATGCTGTCTCTGAGTTATGTGTGTGCAGTTGAGGATTTCACGAAGATCGATTTAGCATTTATTTTTGATTCATGTGTTTGACATGAATATTCATATGTTAATCTCATGGTGTGTGAATTATTTTGAGACTTGAGAGTTTAGTTCTGAGTGTGTGGATGAGGAGAATATAAAGTATAATTTTAATGGAATTTTTATATATATTAACTCAAACATAATGATATTAAAGATTTGTATATTTTTAAAGACTGGCAACTTGGCTTTCAATTTTGATTGTCATTGCTCGGTGGTACAATATGATGGTGTTTGTGCTATCGTCAATCAATTACCATTAGAGAGAAAATGATATTTTTTTTTGGTTATGATGGAATATGATAAAATGAGACAGTTACATAAGAGTGATTTGGAGGAATATAGAGGGCGCAGACAATATGAGACAGCATGCAAAAAAATTATAAATAAAATAAAAAATAAAAAAAACGTTAGCTTCTTGTTCGTTGGTTAATGAGAAATTTACGAAGTTAGGAATACATGATAATGAAAACATTAAGAGATATAAAACGCGTATTATTTGGAATACTGGATTTGTAGGAAATTACTATGATGTATCGAAGTGGAGGAATTATGAATCGAAATGTAATTATTTTAAATATGACGAAACATTTGATAATAAGTATCATAGTGATTCAGATCATTTAAAATTGAGATTTAGAAAATGTGGGGATAAAAGATGCAAAACCTGCCCCATGATGCAACGTGAACAGAATAATGAAGAATCAGAATTTAAGTTCTGTAAAACATTCAACTGCATATATATGTTGACATGTGGTGTCTGCGGCTTTAAATATATAGGTCAAACACACATCAGGAGCTATGAACCTGAGAATCAACCAACATAGATCCGACATTGGAAAAAATACATCAACAAAAAATATAGGAAGAATAGAAATACAACATTTTAATAAACATGGTTTTGAAGGTGTTGCGTTAAATATTATTAAAATTGTTCCAAATAAGATAAATAGACTATGGTATGAAAACGTTTACATCGGTATTTATAATGCTATGTATCCATACGGATTGAATGTAATATGGAATAATAAAAATTTAATACAGGGGCAGTGAAACAAAATGATAAAGAATCTATTTATAATAGTAGAAATAATAGTAATAAGAGAAAAAGGGTTGGTAAGGGTGGACGCAAAAAGAGAGAAAATAGAGATATAGATACAGTTAAAAAAGAAGTAAATAATTTATTACAAGACTTTGAGAATAGTTTTAGTGTTGGAAAAATAAAGTATTTTTTATTTGGACTTAATAAACAGGAAATAATAATAGTTTTAAATTTATTAAAAAGTATTAGATTAAAAGATAATCATGGATCACACTTGGTAATGGATTTATGCAAATATATTACAAATAGATTAAAAATAAAAATAGACTCTAAGAAGGTTTATAATATAGAATATTGTACTTTGCTATACATGAATAAATCATATAATGGGATACAATTTTCTGAAATATTTGGGAAACACATGGATTTATTCCCGATGAAAAATGTGTTAATAAAACGAGCGTTCGAGTATAATAAAAAAATTAGTAGATCAATTTTTAACTATAATAGTATTAAGGAATTGGTAGATAAAAAAGAATGTGGTTGCAATGAATACAAGAATTACGTAGACGAATATCATGGGCACGTAATAACTGGCAACTTAGAAATAGTACAGGATCACACACACACACAGAAATTAAGAGAAATTATGAGCAAAGGTACTGGTTATCGATTGACTATTTCAAACAGCAATTTAAATGTAAGAAAACAACTATCAGAAGATATTAATAAATTTATTCTAAATGTTGCAATTAAATATAATTTACCTACTCAGGCTTTTAAAGAATATGGTTTTCATGTCCTCAAGGACTTAATGAATTTTAATTTTAGAACAAAAAATGAAGATTGTTATAGAAAAATTAAGGGACCAATAGAAAACTTACAAAAACACTTTGTGATTGTTTATGTCGATAAAGTCCCAGGAAATTATGCAATTATGTGTAAATATTATTATAGTAAATTAATAAATGATCATAGACAAAATAATAATGCATATGATGTAAGTAAATTTAGTATGAAAGAAATTAACAACAGATTATTGGCATTTGGTAAACAATTAAATATTTCTAGCAACAAAATTATATATCCCCATATATTTCTAACTCCTAAATTTCATAAGAATCCAATCAAATTCCGCAGTGTAACAAATGGGTTCAATACTTATATATCAAAATCGGGAAGAATTTTACAGACCATATTACAAGATACAATAGACAAATTTAAGGATACTTCTATTATAAAAAACAGCCATGATGTAATAAAGAAAGTTGATCAACAAGAGGTATTTTCTGTGAATGGGTTCGATTTCGAAGATTAATTTAACTCCATTAAAATAGAAGATATAATTCAGGTACTTTCAGATGCATATGAGAAATATGATTTGAATAATTACATTAGTTTTGAAAAGTTCTATACACTTATTCGCTTTGTAATACAGGAGAACTTCATTATTTTTGAGAACAAACTTTATAAACAAATCAAAGGATTGCCTCAGGGTGGCCCAGCCAGTAATAGTCTCGCAAACCTGTATTTACACCATTATGAATCAATTCGAAGAAAGGAACCCTCTTGCCTCTTATTAAGATACATAGATGACTTAATTGTTATAGGTCATGATAGGGAATTTAAACCTAACATTAATTTTTATCCGGAATACCTAAAATTAATACAGACGAATTTTAACTCAAACAAAGTTGAATTTTTATAGATTTGGATTTAACTATTATTGACAACAAATTATATAGCAATATACATGATAAAAGGGAAGCATTTAAATTCAATGTCATAAAGATACCAAACTTCAATAGTTGTCTACATATATCAGTATTTAGAAATATAATTTTAAATTTTGTGATGAGAAATAATAATTTAACTACGCACAATATTGATAAATTCAAAAATATCCAGAAATTTATATTATGTTGCATACAAAATGATTATCCCATCAACTTCCTGAGAAAATATATAGATCAGAAATATTTCTTTAAAATAATAATAATATTTTTAAACTCGTAAATGCACAGATTCACCACACAACATTAGGTCCACAAAGTCAGCTTGTTAGTGGTCCAGCTGTGAAGAATTTGTGCATTCCACACACAGGATACATTTTAATACACACACACTTAGAACAATATTTACACGACTACACTTTAAAATTATTTATTACCAATTAAACATTTATGACCAATCACACATTTATGACCAATCAATCAAGCAAGTTTTTTACATGTGGTCTGGTTTGCATCTAATGCCAAGTGGTCAAACTCTAGTGTTGGATCAAGAATCGTTTGGATTGATATGGCATTGGTTAGATGTTATGAGCAAAATATGAAGTGGTTATTGATATATTAAATATGAAAAGTCGTGCTATAAGAAATGGATCGTATTCTTGATGGGATACTCTTTGGTGAGTTTTTAATGATTTACTCTATTCATTTGTGAATATACTGTGTTTTTAATGTAAACATTCGGTTTTTAGAAATTTTTACTTTGAACTTTCGGATTTTTTAGTTTGAACTTTCGGATTTTTTAGCTTGAACTTTCAGATTTTTTAGCTTGAACTTTCAGATTTTTTAGCTTGAACTTTCAGATTTTTTAGCTTGAACTTTCAGATTTTTTAGCTTGAACTTTCAGATTTTTTAGCTTGAACTTTCAGATTTTTTAGCTTGAACTTTCAGATTTTTTAGCTTGAACTTTCAGATTTTTTAGCTTGAACTTTCAGATTTTTTAGCTTGAACTTTCAGATTTTTTAGCTTGAACTTTCGGATTTTTTAGTTTCAACTTTTTGATTTTAGATATTTTTTAATTTGAACTTTCGGATCTCAAATATTTTTTTGATTTGAACTTTCGGATCTCACACAAATATTTATTTTTTCTACCTATACAACTATTTTAAAGATGGGTGCATCATCTTGGACGTTTGATGGTTCACTTATATTATGCACTAAATTGTTTTTAAATTTTAATATTGTAATATCTTTCAGAATGCGATGGCGAATAGTTTTATTTTTCAAGTATAATGATTTAATTTTAACTTTTTAATTTTTTAAATTTTTTTTTGAAATTTGGATATTTTTCAATTAACTTACCAACTTGCAATAGGGGGTAGGTTGGCGCCATCAAACTAGTTTAACCCCACTTATCGGTCCTAAGTCCGAGATTGCACTTGGATATTTTATAAATTTTTATTTTATTTTATAATTTTTTAATTTTGTTTGAAAACGATGGAATATTATCTTTTATATTCGCCATTGATATTCTGAAGTGTTTTGGTATAATAGGATTCATATATTTCA